CCGCTATGCCAGCCGTGACAGCATCAGCTTCGCCCTGCGAATCTGACAGCTCAATCACCTCACTCGCGGCAGCCATTGCCTGCGTGGCGTTGGCTTGAGTCGGGAAGCTGGTTGGCAGGGTCTCCAGGTTGTCCATGCTCAAGGCAGCACCTGAGAAATGACAAAGGTGGGCTTACATGTCTATTTCGGGCAATCGTCGTTTTATGTTTGGAAGCAGGGGGAAACAGTTAAGACATATCCTGTTTTTAGGATCGAGCCACTGGACTTTCCTCGCTTCAGCGCCCGCTCCTCCAGCTGGAAGCTGCAGGGTTCGACACGCGGAATGACTTGTAAGGTAGGGGGTGTGACATAAACCCGTGTAACAAGGCCCCTGGCACCAAAAGTGGGAGTTTATTTGCCATCGTGCCTCAACACCCGCATTCTCTTCAGAATCTGCGTTCGTTTCAGCGCGGCATCAACTTCCATGTGATCCGCTTGAGGAGTGTGTGGCGGCTGGACACCAACCGCAGCTGCAGATGCAGATGCTGGAGCTGCAGCTACAAGTGCGCAGGCAGGTTGCTTTGCCGACTGGCCAAGCTCGCTGCGGGGCGCCAACTTGTTGGAAGCAATCTCCCCCGCGTTGGTTTCCAAAGGGTTGGAAGCGCTCTCATCAGAACCAGTTTGGCTTTGAAGGTATGGATCTTCAGCAGTGTCAGTCTCATTTGTTTCGGTGCCCTGGGGATCCTCATCAACTTCACCCGGACCAAGTTCACGAGGCGCCTCCGGTTGTTCTGCAGGTGGGTCTTCAGATCCCCAAGCATCATCGAGCATGCGCCAGAAGTCGTTGAGCACTGAGTCCTCAGTTCAATTTCCAAGCGATTGTAAGGACCCCGGGGCAAATAGTGTGTATGGCATGGTTACGCAGCCAACACAACAAGCTGAATTGATTTGACATGTGTTTGGGTCTCAGGCACGCGGGGCCGGATTGATCCAGCAAGCCACCTCCTCAAAGCGTGGGAGAAGAGTTTCTTCAAGCCCCAAGAATCCATAGACACCAGTGCTTGGTTTGTAGGCAGGGCACACAAGACTCTCCATCGTTGCACCTCAAAGGGTTGACACATTGAAGCGGCATGCCCCTGGTTTGTGATGCCTCAGCTTGGGCGTTTTGATTTTCGGGGGCATTGAAACTGAAAAGCTGGTGAAGGCAAAGCAACACGTGTGTTCAACCTGTCTGGCCTGTCGCCGAATGCAATCAATGGGGATGGGGCATGGGCCTCCGCTCTGTGGCAGCCACCACTGCGCAACCACCGTAAGCGGCTTTATGTTTAGCACCAAATGTTTGCAGGATGGCAGGCCGATGGTGGCAGCGCTTGCCCACTGCGTGATTTGGCCATGGGCGCGGGCCAATTGGCGGATCGAAGGATCTGCCTCCATCATGTCTGCAAGATTAGCCATCACGCTACGCTAGTTCCAACTAATGACTTTGAACCTCCAAAATGCTTGAGGCATCAGGTTTGCTAATGTGAAGGGAAGTATGGGGACAGCAAGCTCACCCTTCTCTGTGCAAAACATGACGGTTCTGCCACTCGCACAGCGCTCAGGTCAGAGCAGCGGGCGCCATCGGTGGAAAAAGCGTCGCACTGCAAACGGGCCGGGCGTGGCTTCCAATTCTGGCTGTGGGGACTTTTGTTCTGAGATGAATGAAAAGCGTAGCTTTACATGATGGGACTGCCAAAACAATTTGTGAAAGTAGCATAAGTTGAAATTCCAGCACTCCAAAGCCGGCAGGTCGATAAGCTCACCTTCAACCTGAATGATTCAGAAAGTGCTCGCAAGCACTTTTTTCTGCCACCAACCCTTTTTTTGGTTGCAGCAGAAATTATGCATACAAAGGATGTCCCAGGTATATATATATATATACATGTATCAAATCCCAAAAACCTGGGTCTGTGGGAGTATCAAATGTAGCAATAGTATACAATACATAAACGAATATGGTTGACTGTAATGGAGATATAGTTTGAATGTGATAAGACGTTTGGTGTCGGTTTTCCTTTGAGGGCCCAAAAGTGGCCAATGTTTGTTCAGAACGAGAGGCACGAAGACACATGCAGATGTCAGGGTTGCGGCAGGGTTGCGTGTTTGACAGGGTTTTCGAGCCATGCTCCTCGTTGAAACATTACGATGATTTCAAGGGAAGCCACCTCTAAATTGATTAAGCTTTGAAGGGGGAACCTCCAAAAGTGGCCATCGTTTTAAGGGACACCACCAGTAAATTGATCAACTTTTGAACGGGAAGCCCAGTGACCCCTGTTGTCATTTGTCACCGTGCGCAATTCTATTTCTCGACATGGACGGCCTTCTGAAAGGCCAGTCTTCACATGTCATGTGTGATTGGAGCCTGTTCAAGCCACTGATTGTTGGACATTTGTAGCTTGCGATCAGCATGCCTATGGCCGGCCTTGCAACTCATCAGATTCAAGTCGAATTGTTGCTTTGTCACCACTGAAAGGGCGGAGATAGAGGTAAGATCAGCCACAATTGATTTGCTTTTCTCCACATTCACTGAAGTTTACAGCTGGCCTTCGCAGACAAAGACTTTTTCTATGGCTCAATGCAAACCGCTGGTCATGACAAGTGTGGCCCGGGCACGGTGTCTTGCAACGTTTCGGACATCAGTACGTAGCCTTACCCCAGCCGAAGCTCCCTGGCCATTCGCCTTCCAAACCCCAAGACTCTCGGGCCGCGCGTGGCTGGTTCACCTTTTCCGTGTTGCAACACTGTGGCCATGGCTCAAAACCAATGGGATCCCATTTTGGGGTGTTCGGTGCACCACCCATGTCAGCCTATTTTAGTGGGGCTTGGGATGTTTATTGGGGGTACGATGTGGGTTTCGACCCATGGCCATGTATCGCAGTACTATTTTTGTTCGACAAGCCCACCTCGAAGCACGCGTCCATGAGTTGTAATCGAGTCGGACACAGTCGCTCGCTCACCGAATGGCCGACTTTTGGCGACATGTTATTTCTATCCACATGTATGCTGGCTTGCGTGATGCACACGTGCCTTGCTTGGAAATGTGTTTGATGCTGGCAGTTTGGCGATCACCATGGTTGATGCATGAGTGTCACTTCTGAAAGCCACAAGACTTGCCTGCCGTAGACAGATCCAAGCAGACCTGCAAGCCACAACTTGCCTGCCGCGGAGCGGATACCGAGAGGACATGTTGAGAGAAATACTTCAGAGTGTCCTTGTCTAAAATAATGACTTGCAGCGCCAAGGTGATCTAAAGTAAACCGCTGGATGGCTGTTTCCGATGCACTGGAAGGACTCGAGATGCACCAGTTCATGAAGAGTGGAAGGATCTTGTTTGTTTTCCATGGAATCATATCATTGTTCTCAACACTTGCGAACCTGGACCAGGGAGACTGAGCAGACCCCTTAGGCCATGCAATCCGCAAAGATCTGGCACTAGCGCACCCCTTTTGGGGTTTCTTCATTTTTGTGGTCCCCTAAAATGGCAACATGCTTTTGAGTCTCGTTGAGCCACTAAAAGGGGATCCAGTTTGAGAACCTCCCTTGAGTACCACCAGTAAGTACCACCATTTTGAGTACCACCATAAATTGCCATGTCCATTTCCTTGAGGTAGATACCGCCAATTGCAAAACAACTCACCATCCAGTAGCATCTTGATTTCCCTTCAAGCACCAATTTGAGGAACTCCCTGGCGGGTTTTCCCCCTACCAAACCGGTGGCCGCAGGTTTTTTTTCGGCGCGAAAGCCAGGTGGTGGACGCCTTGGTTTGCCTTGCCTCCTGGGACTTGCGGCCGCCGGTGCTCGGCGCGGCGCTTAAATTTTCGGACCACGGTTGGAAGACCTATGACACGTACAAAGCAAATCCTATGACTATAGACCAGAGATACTGCTAGAGACTTGCGATAAGAAGATATAAGAAGACTTGTATAAACACCTTACCATAGGACAAGCTTCGCCTTGGTTTTCTAGTTGTCTTCCTGAGCTTTTGGCCAGCAAGGGTGATAGCGCTTGCGCTTGCCCTTCTCTCTTTGTGCTTTGGCCCTGCATGGCAAATCGGGCGGGGTAGACGAAGTATGTGTCTTAGAGTCACGGCGCCTGTTTGTCCCAGCCAGCAGCCAGCAGGACCCGGGCCAAGCAAGAATCCTTGTGACAGCCAGCCCTTGTGACACTCAGCGCCTTCCAGGGATGCAGCACGAACTGTGAACCGCAGTCCACTCAAGGTAGGACTTAGTTGACGTAGCATCTTCCGATGGCGCGCAAGGAGGTCGCGATGGAAGGGAAGATTTGGCCACCTGTTTGGGTCTACGGCATCAACGATCACCTGGACATCCCCAGCGAGCTGCCTCCCGGATTTGAGCCCAGCGGCCTCCTGTGCGCGGACTTTCGGAAGCTGTGCGCCACGGTCAATGCGGCAACTCACCCAGCCTTTCGGGCAAAGCTCGCGAGGAGAGTGAAGCCCGGTTGCCCTTTTTTCAACTTGTTTCAACTTTTTGGGGAAGTTTTCATTTAATGTCAACCAACCAAAGAAGGGTGGGTTGCCCAGTGGCTTGCCTTCTTTTTTCAACTTTTTTGGGGAAGGGTTCCCATTTAAAGTCAACACCAACCAAAAAAGGGTGCGTTGCCCAGTTGGTTGCTTTCTTTGTTCAACTTTTTCGGGGTTAAAGTCAACCAACCGATTCTTTTCTTCCCATGGCAGTGGGCATCTCAGGAAGGAACCTTCCAAGTCCTTGCCGTCTCCGCACGAAGCTCGCAGAAGGCCCAGCCTGCTGGGTAAAAACGCGCACGACATCTCGCTGAGTCTCAGCGAAGAGAAGCCGCCCAAAGAAGGGCCAAACCTCGCGGTGAAGTCTTTCCTCTTTGACCGAGCAACCATGAGTTTGCTTAGCCTTCTGCTGCCTTCTGTTCAGAACGTCAAGGTCCTGTGCTTCTCAGACTGCAATCTGGACTGTGAAATGCTGCGGCTTCTCAGCAGTGGCTTGGTGTCGCATTGCTCTGTGGAGTCCTTGCAGATCGAATGGAATAGCCTCGATTTGCCACTGCCAACTTTGGAAGAGGAGGATCAACAGGAAGAGGAGGAGAATGAGGTGCCCGCTTTTGACAAAGCGTCCAGCCTGTTGGAGGCCCGGGAGAGGAAGCGCTACACGATGCAGTCAGATCGGCTGTTGCTGAACTTCAGGGAATGGCTGGAGAGCCGGTTCCAGGGTTTGGAGGCCGCCTGGCGAGTCCTGGATCTTGCAGGAGTAGATTCTTGGATGCTGTTGACCCCTCTGCAAAAAGTGTTCAGCTTTTTGTGCGTTCAATGTGGAAAACCAAATACTCGAAATCCCAAAAAACATGTTAAAGTCTAAAGATCCGTTGCCCAAAAACATTGAAAGCAAAATCCTTGAAATCCCCAAAAAAAGTTAAAGTCTAAAGATCCGTTGCCCACTAGCAATCAAGGATTGGGACGCCAAGCTCCAGGCTCCCGACTTTCACGTCTCTCAGTTGTTCAGTGGCACCTTTTTTTCCCCAATTTTATTCTTTGGGGTGGCTGCTTTACTGAAAAGGGTCTTCCCCAAAAAGGCTTCCCTTTTATTCCAGGGTCACTGAACAACTGAGGTCTTGCTCTACGAGAAGCTGGGCGTGAGCGGCCAGCAGGTCTTGGAGGTCTTCGAAGTGCTCGATGGCCCGGACTATGGCGCAGATGGAGGAGTGACCATGGAGGCGTGGGTCAATAAAATCCGTGCCCAAAATGGACCCCTGGTAAATGGAAGGTCAAAAATCCGTGCCCAAAAAAGGGTTGCCCTGGTAAATGGAACGTGCGGTCCATATCCTGGTGGTTTCATTTTGACCCATCAGGTCATGAGGGAAGCGCTGCAAGGCTTGCCGGAGATCGGCGAGGATGATCCCCTTGGCCTCAGCCTGGCTGGATTCCTTGAGCCCAGCAGCGTCCTCGAGTGTGTGAGTTTTCGCGCCTGCGCCATCAGCCGTTTTGAGCTGGGGCCTATGAGCACGGCTTTGGCGAAATGCCCCTGGCAGCTGAGGGCCTTGAACCTTTGGGACAATCGCATCTGCGACAAGGGCGCCGAGCTCCTGGCCTTCGCGCTGGACGCGTACCGCGGCCTGGAGTACCTTGGCCTAGGCCGCAACCGCATCACGGAGCAGGGCTTGCGCGCCCTGTGCCAGCCCTTCCAGCCCTGCCCGCTGGCTTTGGAGGAGGTGCCCGCGGCCAAGGAGCGCATCTCCAAGCAGCAGGCAGCGGCCAAGGCCGTGGCCGAGGCCAAGGAGAAACATGGTCGACGTTGGAAGGGGAGCCAAAAATCAATTAAAAAAAAAAAAAACAATAGCACAATAATAAGCAAAAATGTAAACCACTAAAGTTGCAACCACTAAACCACAAGAAGCAAAAAGGTGAAAATGTAAATCCCAACGAGCACCAAGGAAAGCCCAGGCCCAGGGCACGGAGTTCAGCGGCCGCCAGCGCCGCGCGTCCGTGCCGCTGGTGGACGAGCTGGAGGAGCGGGAGGAGGGCGCGGTGCTGCGGAAGCTCTCCGAGCTTCGGTGCCTGGTGCCTCAACTGCTGCTGGATCGGATCTTTAGACTTTAACCCTTTTCGGGAAATCAAGGATTCGGTTTTTTTATTGAACCCCCCGAAAAAGTCAAACACAAAAAAGGCGCAACTTTCTGCATGGGGGTCGTTGCAGCACCCCAGGTGCTGTCCGAGAACCCCATCAAGAGCGCTGACGTGTTGGAGGCGTGCCAGAGCCTCGGCCCCCGGGGGGCGGACCTGGTGCTGCGCGGCACCGCGGCGGCGGCGGAGCTGGGCGCGCGCCGCCCCGAGCTCCTGCGGGAGAAGGAGCGCAAGCCGCTGCTGAACTTGGGCCATGCCAAGGAGTCTTCCCCAGAAGTAGCGCCTTTTTTGTTGTTGTTTTGGTTTCTTCTTTTTTAGCTTGTTTTTGCTTTTTTGCTTTTTTGGGCTCCCCCTTTTTCTTAGTTTTTGCTTTTTTAAAAGGTCCCATAGGTCCCTTTGCTTTCCACTCACCAGGCAAAAACAAATGTTGTTGTTTTTGGCTGGGGTCCGAATGCCAAGGATTCAGGGCCAGCAGAGGGATGGGTTCTACGTTTGAATCCGTATTGAACGTTTCACGATGTTTCACACATGAGCCACAATCAAATCCCAACCATAAATAGCTGCGGCCGCCTTCTTAATTCTGTACATGGTTCTGGGTAGACCATTTTAGTACCAGGTTTTGATTGCGACTCACATGTTACTTGTTTCACTTGGAGAAGGCCTTCTTTCCGGATGGAAAGTTGGAAGAAAACTCATAGCCCGTCGCTTCTTTGTCTCTGGAGCTAGTTCCCCTCTTGAAGGGAGCCAAGATGGTCAAACCATGTTGGTTGTCCCCACGCCTCGCAATCACACTTGTCAGTGTATCTGGGTCCTTTAGCGTAAACATCTTTAAAGGACCAGGCAATGTGCCCTTTCTGCGGGGAATGCAAAAGGCTCAATACGTTTTCAATCATGGCGTTCTTTTAGTCTTGTGGCACCCCAACCCCCGCAACCCCCCCCCCCCCCACACTCCTATGTTTTGTTGCTCTTTACGCAATCGTGTGCATTTTTAGTTGTGGCCCATTTGGCTCAAGGCCTGTGTTTTGCAACACGGTATTTCCCTGCGACTCAGAGTCTAATTCTCATGCACTTCCAAGCTTGGCAATCCACTTGGAACAGACATGGGCAGCATACCTAGCTTTTGCGGGCTTTGTAGGACCCTAGTTCCAGCACAACCCAACCCAACCCCCTTCGCTTTTCGCTAACCAGGGTGTGGGGGGATGTACCTGGCTGTCGGTTTCGGGCAGGTTATTTGACCCTCAGGTCGCCTGGATGAGATCCTGGTGGATCGACAGGTGGAGCTGAAGTACACCGGCAACGCCCGGCGCCTCAGCGAGCCGCAAAAGCTCCGAGCGAGCGAGCCGCCAGAGAGCCAGCCGAAAGCCGAGTTGTCCTACCCAAACAAAAGCACCGCACAGTTTGGTGTCAAAAACATAGGGGAACCTCAAAATGGATTGAGTCATATCCTGTTGGAAATTTGGGTAACCCCAAAATGGGTTGAGTCACATCTTGTTGGCTTTTCTTTGACCCATTCCCTTCTGGCAGTTCTCAGGGAATCCACCAAATCGGAATCTCCTTAGTGGATGGCGTGGCCCTGGATTGAGGAGCCTGAAATATTGATGCGGGGAATATGTCATCCCAAAGCAGTAAGGGCGCGAAATTAGTAAAGTAAGACACCTCCTCTGTGATTCCAATTTGTGGTGAATGAATCCTGGGTTCGCATGTTGCATTGTTTGCTTGTAGTGGTTTAGTGGGAAATCCCCACTTAACTGCCATTCTGTTGAAAATTGTTGCTTCCCTTCCAACGTCAACCAAGTTACATTCATTCGGTTTGCGAAAAGAAGGAATCTCGGAATCACCAGGAAGGGACCTTCATTGGTTGTGCCCCCGTCTTTCTCTATGAGCGTTACCATTTGCCCAGACACTGGGCTGCCATGCCACGGCGGGTCCCTTATAAGGAGTTTGGATTGGTCGTTGCACCTAAGCTCATGGGCACTTTGGTTCGACAGACCATGAATCACCCAAGTTGATGTATGGATAATTCTCCCAAGATGCTTTGTTTCCTTTTGGTTTCCCTACCCAAAAGGGGATCGATATTTTTCTTGGAGAAAGACGGTCTTATTTCCACAAGCTAGGGCAGGTCTAGCCAAACCCATATTGCTGCCCGAATTGGTGGATTGCCGCTTCAATGCCGGCTGGACATCAAAGTGATAGTCAGGAAAGGCTTCTCCTGGATAGCTCAGTTAAAGACACGAATATGGGTGATTATTTTTTTGTTTCCCCACCAGAACTGGTGGTTTTTCTTTTGGCTTCCCTCAACCAGCCTGCCCTATAAAAAATAAAAATAAAAATAAAACATATTGCAATTATCCTCCCTCCATACGGAGATTGTCCAAGCAAACGTTGCGGGTGGCCCATGTTTCAGGAGTACAGCCACTCAGGAACAATGCTTAGTGGTCATCCAAAAACGGTTTGTTTTTTTGTTAAAACACAAAGATACAACACGGCAGGGGGGGAAACAAGGAGAACTTGCGTGTTTGTTTTTGTTCTTTCCTTTTTTTTCTGCTTCTTTTTTTTATGAGGGGTGCACTCCCTGTTTGAGCAAATGGGAGCAGAACCAAGGAAGCCCAATTTCGACACGCCAGCGGCGCCATAGAGTCAGTCTCAAGGGTGTGGGGTGCAACAGGAGGGTCGGCCCCTGATGTTCACAAGCAAAACCCCCCTCTCACTGGGGCTGGGGAGGGAGCCCCTTATTAAGCCCCTAATAAGGCCTTATTTGGGCCTTATTGGGGCTCCCTCCCCCCTCCCCCCCAGCCCCCATGATCCTCCGACAAAAACTAAAAATCTTAAAATAAATTTAAAACAAAGGTTCGTTGCGCATGGCTCGAATTTTGTTCGCCTTTAGGGTAACTCTTACCGATGCAGGCCAAGAATCCAAGTCTCCGCTGGCCCCGAAATGGGTACTAAAACCTTCCAAGGGTGCCCTCAAAGACAAACTAGCGCACTCAAATATGGGGGTTCCAGTTCTGGGGCGGCGTTCACGTTTTGCTGCGGCATCAAAGCGAAACCAACCAAGCAAGCCAACCAGCATTCCATTTTTGAGTGATCCAGTTTCCAAACATGTGTGTTTTTGAACCTCAGCCTTCCTCAGTTCCTGGACTTCAAACTTTTTGGGAAGACCATGTCGGTGGTAAGCACAAATCTTGGTTAATCTTGGTTGCTTGTCTTGGCATCCATCCACTCGATGGGAAGTGAGCAGCCCCATCTCTCTTTTTTTTCCCCTCGCTGCGGCTCCTCGGGGGAAAAAAAAGCGACAGCGTCTCAGGTGCTGCTCTGGGTCTTTGCCACTCGGAGCCTCAGTCGGATGCAGTGCCCCGATCAAAATTTGACGGGCAGATGGGCAGATGGAGGACCCCCCGATCTCCACGAGTGCGGAGATCCGCCCCTTAAAAAAAAAGATCTTGAAGCCCGGTTGTGGGCTTGGACCATTTTAGTACCAGGTGTTGATTATGGCTCATTTGGAGTTTTATCCCCAATCAGCTTCCTTTCAGATAAACTCACAGCTTTTTTGTCTCAAAAACAAATCTCAACCGTGTTCAAGAGTTTTGGCTCTCACTTCCCCACCGGTGATCACGACTCGAGGCCACACCTGTCAGGTACCGAGACTCGAAGTGGGCTCTCGTAGTCAGTGACTCAGCCATCTGACTGGTTGCGAGTGAGCGACACGCGTGCAATGGGCTCGTCCTGGACTTGGTACCAGTGCATCCCAGTCAATGCCTCAAGTAGGTAACCCTCGGCTCTTTTCCTCCTTTTTTTTTAATGGGCGGTTCCATTGGTTGCCTTCTATACAGGATCCACTGTGGTTTTAAAGGAAACAAACAGGAACACCGATGCCATTTTGGGGATCCGATTCCTAAGTCAAGACGAGCAACCCACTTTTGAGCTTGTGACGTTTGCGGCTGCTCATTGCTAGCATCACATTGCAGCCTTTGGCTCTTCAGATTTATATCACCCCTTGTTTCAGCACGGTATTTGGCAATAGGGCTGAGACTTAGCTAAGCCTGGTTTGCAGCAAGCAGCACACCAGGAGTTGCAAAGAGCGCGATGCTTGGGCACAGCGTGACTAGCAGATGCAGTCGTGGATGCTGCATGGACTACCGTCAATGTTTCCCTCCGCCCTTGCTGCATGCTGTCAAGCAGCTTGTTTTGTTTGCTTTCTATTTTCTTGCTCAGTTGTTCAGTGGCACCCTGTTTCCCCTTTTTTTTGGTGGCTGCCCCACTAAAAATGGTCCAAGCCCCAAAAAGGGAACCGGTCACTGAAGAACTGAGCTTGAGTTTACTTCTTTAGAAACCCCGAAACGCCTTGCTTTCTTGGCAAATCCCGCTTTCGGGGAGACGATCGATCTGGTGCAAATCCTTTGAGACGTTTCCTTCAAACGGGTGCAACGATTCCTGCCCACCGATTCCTCCCCACAGACAGACAAGGGATCGGATCCATCTTAGTGGTGCCATAGGTTCTGAATGACCGGGAAAGAAAGTTTTGGGAAACCGGAAGGAAGGATTCCCTCAAAGGAAACCATCGATGGAAATGTTGGTCATTCCAACTCATTCCCTGTCGAAGCAGCAAGCCATTTCCCAGGCTTTGGACCTTGCGCGAGACAAGATCTTCTTAGAGCAGGCCATGGGGTCGACCCGTCCCAGTCCCGATGTCCGAAGTGTTTGTTATGAGGTTTCTGATTTTGCGAAGCCAAAAGGAAAGCATAGTGCTTCCAGCTCTTTGTTTGTTAGATTGATAGATGTGTCGTTTAGGTCTTGGAAGTTGTTTCTTACTTTGAGACTTGGGTTCAAATGATTTGATGTCTGGGTATTCGAAGCTGACCTTTGGATGCATTACGCGGATCTGATCCCGCGATTTGTAAGACTCCGGTTACCCTGTACCATTGTGTGTCAATTCACAGAGTCGGGGTATCCCTCCACTGGACCAAATCCACCTCCAGCCTGGGAGGTTATGAAATATCCAAATCGGGTGTCATCCATCGGATCTTCGCCGGGCCGGGCTGCACCTGTCGCCTTTTTGGGGTCAGCGACAGACTTGAACTGCCCATGCGATGTTTTTGGTTAGCTTTGGAGTTATCCCCAAAGCTTTTGCTTTGCAAGTGGCCCATTCTTTGAGTTCCTGGGCGTCAACTTTGGGCAGACCAACTCAGTGGATAGAATTCCGTTGGTTAGCTTTCTTTGGGCCATCCACGAGATCGGTTCCTTTGGGTTTCGCCGGTCTCAGGTGCCCTTTCACAACCTTTGCCAGCTGCTGGAGAGTGTGGCCGGCCGACTTTCAAGTCGAGCGGCGGGTTCCAGGAAGCGCTAGCGCTGTAGATTGGGTCGTGTTTCTTCAAATCCGAAACAACACAGATGCCTAGGGGTGACCAGAGTCTGTTTTGTTTGGAAGTTTGGAGTATGTGCTGAGCAGTTTTTCGAAGTTATCCTGTTGATTTTAATGGGAATCTATCACTACGGTTGTTTCCAGCAAACTTCCTGGAGCCTCCATCGTAGCAAACATTTATGCCGGCCCCCTGGTTCGATACACAAATTGACACATTGTAGCGTTTTTCCCTCCACAACTGCTTTCGAGCATGTTTTTTGGAATCGAGCAGAAATTGAAATCAAGTTCGGCAGTTTCATGTTCTTTCACAGAGGCGAGTTTGGGAAGAGTCATCCACGAAACGAGCGCAAGTGCAAAACGAGCTCAAATCGGCGCAAACGAGTTCAAACAGGGCAAACGAGCGAATCTCCAAAACATGGTACAGGGAATGGGTCCCGACGGGCGCATGATTGCTGACAACTCGAGCATTTTTTGTTGAATCGTACATGTATTTTAGAACAGGTTGTCACGAGCAGAAAAACAAGACGGGCAAAAAAGTTCATGTATCAACGGAGGCTGCAGGTTCAGCAAACGGACGCGGTGATTTTCCGGTAAACCGGCCCACCATTTTTCAGCGTCGAAGCTGCGTGGAATTTGATTGAAACACAAGTCCGATTGGAATGGCCAGTTTTGTTGGGTCAGTTTTGAGAGCTCTAGGGGTTGTTTCCTTGTCCATTCTTTGCAACCATCGTTCTTTTCAAACACCGATCGCCGTGTTCCCTGGGTTTCCGGAGGTTTTCTAGAAAGCAGGATCCCTGGCAAGAATGGGGAAGGTACCCCTAGAAGAACGCCTTTTCAGCTGAGCATTGGAGGTGTGGTTGATTCATGGGAGGCGAATTGCACCTGAAGGTTTCACTGGCAGAGGCAAATGGGCATGGGTCAAAATCCCGTACCCTCAGTGAACATCCCAATCCCCACTAAAATCGACCATAATGGGTGGTGCACCTACCCCAAAATGGTACCATTGGTTTTGATCCAGAGCCAAATGACTGGAGCTCAACAAGGTGGCCACGTCCTTTTATTTTCTGTGAGGCGTCCAAATAAGGACTCAGGCAACCGGCGTCAACGGGACCAATCCACACAGGGGTGTTCCGCCAAACTTCAAGGATTCATAGCCCCTCTTTGTCCAATGGTTCAATCCGGGTTGTGCTGGAGTTGGCCAGAATTTGCGGAGCTTAACCTTTTCGACGAAATGGCCTATCAGCCGCGGCCTCAGCGCGGAAGCCCAAACAAGGCCCCCTCCTTTGCCTCACCTTTGAAAGTTTAGAAGGGGGTTGAGCGCTGTTCTGGGACGCGCTTTGCAAATCGCGTGTTTGTTGTTCCCTGGCGGAAAGGTCCAGTGTCAAGAAGGCGCAGTCCTTTAACTCGTCATAGGGAACCACTGCAAAAGTGGCTGGCCAACACACCTCCCCGTCTACCTGAAGGATCCCCAATTTTGATTTGCACCGCACAGGTACGCTTCATCTAAAGGCTCAGCTCATGGAAGGTTCCTTAGTTTTCTATGGGGAGGGGGTTAGATGTCTCCCAGGCGGTCTAAGAAATAAAGCCACCGGTCAGATGCTATTTGATTGGGCTTGAGTCACTTGGAGTGTGTCCTTCGGCCACGCGAGCCTTAACCTGAACTCACCGCACGGATGCCTGTGGCCACGTGCTGTTCGATTGGACTCGTTCCTAGAAACAGCTCAGTGGGGAAGCGAGGGGCAAGCGACGGAGCCAGCAGAAGGATCTGCTTTTAGTGAGCTGGGCAACCTTGCGGACGGAGAACGTTTGCGGTCCTCTAAAAGCATTTTATTGGTGTATTTTGCTTGGATGTTAGGACTTTAACTTTTTGCCAACTAATGGTTTTCCCATTCAACCACTAAAAGTTAAACTTTTTGCAGGGGAGCAGAAAGCAGCCGAGTTTTGCTAGTTACAGAGTAGGAGCTTGAGATCTGAACAATCTGGTGGGTGTGGGATTTAGCTTGAATGACCTACATGTCTTCCATTTGCAGCAAGGCACTTCAGCTAAACAGACTTCCATCCGTCGCCGCTTCATTTTTTTGCAGATTGGACTGGAGATCTATGCAATGTCATAATTCCAAGCTCAAGTTGGACATTATTTCAAAATCCATTGCCATCCCTGCCTTCTGGCAACTCGAAGCATCTCTGCAAAGAAGTTGACAGACATGGAATGATAGACGTGAATTAATTGCTGTGAATCAGTAGGTTGAATCGTCAAACAGATCTCGACCCCCTAAAAATGCTGAGCGTCTCGTCCAAGTTTCACCTTGTTTCACGTCCCCATGGTCCCCAAGCCAAAGCAACCGCTCGGAGTGGCCCACCCAGAGGGTGAGGCATCCTTGCCAGTGAAGCTGTTGCCGACAACGTTGCCGAAGGAGCTTTTCCGTGGAGTGCCTTTGCATACATGTTTGGCAGGTTTGGGGAAGCACTGGGCCACCAATCTCGATGAGAAGCATGCGGATTTTCTCTTTAGCAGAGAAGTGGAGTTTCTCGATGACTTTTTGAGCCATGATTGGGCAACATCACGCTGGACCAAGCTTTGCGCGTTGATGGTCGTGTATAACTCCAGAGCTGCTTGCATAGCAGCCGGTACTACCACCTTCGTGTGGTCAATCCTTGGAAAGGCTCTCCTGATGCCAGATGCTTCACGAAAGCAGACGTTCGCGGAGTACTGTTTGTTTGTGACCCCTGTGATTGTCGTGTTTTATCTTTTCCTTGTTTGGTGGCAGCAAATCAGAAGGCTCTTCGCAAGCCCCAGCATGGTCTTTTTAGACAAGCTCTGCATCTCGCAGCACGACGTACTCAAGAAGGAGGAGGGCATAGCTGGGCTTGCAGCCTTCCTCTCCAACAGCAAGAGGATGGTGATACTTTGGTCCCCCAAGAGTTTCCGCTGCATTTCAGCATGTTTTGGCAAGTTTGCTGGACGCATAGTAGCATAGACGGAGACCACCTGATTCACTCGCATTCTATTTTAAACCTGATGATGTCAACATAGTGCAGTTGAACAACTTGCATCACACTGCCGCTTTTGCACACACACAAGTAAGGTACTTCAGTCGCTTGTGGTGTACGTACGAGCTTGGGGCCTTCTTACGCCTGCACACGCAGAAGCACGTTGAGGTCATCCCGGCATCTTTTGGGTCCTATTTATGTATCGCCAGCCTCCTGCTATCTGGGAGTTTCTTCGTCTTCACCGGGATTGATGCAGCAGCGTTTTCTTACGAGGAGCTTTCTGTCGACCTACACGTGCTTCAAGATGTACTGCACATTGTTACCATGTTCTCGGCTCTTTGGGTTTACGTGAAGACCGTGAGAAGTTTCGCCCAACTGTCAGAGCAGCTGTCAAGCTTCAGCATTCGGGACTCTCAATGTTTTTGTTGTTCTGTGGACCATTGCATGCCTGATACAGGCGAAGAAATCCCATGCGACCGACGAGTCGTGTATGGTACACTGGAAACCTGGTACAGCGGAGACGAATACGCAGATCCTCTGGAATCCTTTGATCAAGAAGTACGATCTCACCTCAAGGAGTTTGTTGCGCAGCAGTTTGGAAATGGCTATTTTCCAATCGCCTATTTCTTCTACGTGGTTATGTTCTGCCGTGTTTGCTTGGCGTTCAGCTTCTATGGCAAAGACGTGGTACTGCCAGCCACGGCATGGCTAGAGGTAGTGCCAGAAGCCGCAAGTCCATTCTACCGCTGCAGTAAATTGATAGAAGAGTCCGTGAATCTTTCTTTGGTGATCGTTGCGGCACTTGCCCTTATTCGACTGAGTGGGTGCATGCTATACTTGCCGAACCGATGTTCGCTGCTCTCTGTTGTAATTCTGGCCTTGATATTGGAAGGGGTCAGTCAGCTCAACAGAGCAGTGCTGCTTTATTTCCGGTACGGTCTGTACAGCAAGGCTGAGTGGGCGGCACTTGCGTACCAGCTCGTTCTTACGATCTGGTGCATGATTGGCATCCGTGTGATGGCCTCGCGGTCAGGCCAGGCTGTCCATAAGTAGACCATACCCTTGTGTTGCTGCCGGGGCTGCTGCGAACTGCCTTTGCCACCTGAAGAGAATGAAGGGACGTCGTTTTGACCAAATGTAGGCTTGCATGCATCTTGGCCGGGCTCCGCAGCGACCATTGTTGTTCAGCGAGATTGAGCATGTGCGGCTTGTCAGTGTTGGTTCGGAATGGAAAGTGTCCTTCAGTTTCTGACGGCCGATTTGGCTGCGGCGCCTGCCGGGGTCGCCTGCAGTCTGGCTGAAGATTTGGCGACGATGCGCAGCAAAAGAGCAGCCGGCGACTCGGGCGACCAGCAGGCACCTGCAAAGCGCATGCGCGCGGCATGCTGGAAATGCAGGACGACGCGCAGATGCGACACCAGGCCACATGCAAGCGACATCGGGTAACGCGCAAGCGACACGCAAGTAGCACACTTCTCTGGCCGAAGTGATGCTTGAGTGCATGATAAGTGACGCCCGGCGCCAAGAGAGCAACGGGCAAATGCGAGCAGCGCAACACGACGCACAAGCGCCCAGGCATCACAAACATGCTTCCCGCCAGCAGCGCGTGACGCGCGTACGAGTTGTATCCCCAACATGCTTGTACTCTGTCGCAATTTGTGGGCGCTGTGCTGACTTTGGCCCCGCCATTTTTTAGCGGAAGCGCAGAACTAGCTCCGAACTATGCCAGCACATGTACTGTACTTATGTCAATATTGATGTCTCTTCATTTGTCTTTATCTAATATGTCGATTGCCATATGTTGTATTTAAGTTTTAAAAGTCAACAGAAACATATGACATGGTGGTTCTATCTAACATGTTCTAACATGTGTTTATTGAGTATGATCCTTCATTGCCGTTTTGCATTATTCAATTTCACTAGCAACACAATCGGTAACACCCGAGTTGATTACCAATGTTTTTCCATGCTGATACATAACGTCGTGTTTGAGAGCGACATATCTACATTGGACTCTAAACCCAGTTAAATGTTAACGTATAACATGTTCACACTATGCATATACATATATATATATACATATGGTATCGCAACCAAATAACTAATTGGCACGCTGTAAGTCATTGTAAAACATCAATAACCAACTAAACACAAACACACAAAAACCTAAAACATGCAAAAAGCACAGCGCAGAGAACACAATGAACCGCTGCTGCTTTTTGTTCTTCAGACTGTCTGAAACCCTGGGGCGGTTCATTTCCCACGAAAACCTCGAGGGAAGTCTATCTCAAAGAAAATATGTTCATCACCCTTTGGTGCGACAGCTTCTCCCATCGGCGAGAAGCAGAAGGGCGAGAGCGAGTCCGGCCTCGCGGAAGCTGCAACACGCCCCTCCCCCATCTTTCGGAGCATGCCATTGCGAGCCTTTAATTAAAAGCATTTCTCTCCCTTTCCACCTGCCCTACTTTCTCTTAGCCCTTCTTTCGGTCCTTCCATTCCTCCCTTCCTCCCTTCCTCCCTCCCTTCCCTCCCTTCCCTCCCTTCCCTCCCTTCCTTCCCTCCCTTCCTTCACTTCCTCCCTCCCTTCTTCCCTTCCCTCCCTTCCATCCCTTCCTTCCTTCCCTCCCTTCCTCCCTTCCTCCCTTCCTCCCTTCCCTTCCTCCCTCCCTTCCTCCCTTCCTCCCTTCCCTCCCTTACTTCCTCCCTTCCTCCCTTCCTTTACTCACTTCCTCCCTTGTCTTTCCTTCCGTCCCCTTTCCTCCCTTCCTCCCTCCTTTCTCTCTTTCCCCTTTCCGCGGTGAGGAGCTTCGCAGAGCTGTTTCTCGCCGAGCGACAACTCTTCAAAGAGCTCAGGGCACGGAGCCCAGCGACACGCAAAATCCGCGCCCCGCGAAAAACTTCCGGAAGACCAATACGTGAAGCATCCCCAAAAGCATCCCAAAGATCATCATCCCAAATCAATTTGGTTTTGTTTTCTTGGGTAACCCCCAAAGACTGTGGTTTCTTTTCCCTCTTTAAAACCACCCAAACAATCAGGTACCCCTTAGTTGGTGGTTTGGATTGGTGGTTTGGGGATTTGAACGCCTGGTTCTTATAGTAGGTATGGGGAACCTCTTCTTAACCCACCAAACCGCCAATCCAAACCACCAATTTTCGAGGGAAGCTGAAACAAAGATCCCGAACCACAAATACAAACGGTCCGATTCCCCTCTCCCCCCCCCTGCCCCCCCCCCTCCCCCTCCGCTCCCCATCCCCTCCCCCCCCCCCCTAGGGGAAGCTGAAGGGTACGCTCACAAGGGACACGTCCGAGGACATCGCCCAAGTTCTTTGGGCCTTTGCCCACGTGGGCTTCTTCCACCCCGAGGCGGGGCGAACGTTTGGCGAGCCCCAGATGGACCATCTTCGACTTGTTTCTCTAACAAAAACACAGCTAAATAAGAACAGCCTAAAGAGAAAGATGGCTTTCCAAGTAGTGGCCAAATTGGCTGGTTTCCGTTTGTTTTCCCTTTCAACTGAGGATACCGTTTGCAGTAGCTGCATACGACCTGGGGCTCCTTTCAAGCGGCGTGATGTGGTCCTTCAAGGCGCTCCCTAAAGGCTGGGGGTCGACGCTGGATGTTTCTGACAAGTTGCCAGGGCTCAAAGAAGCTGAAGACATGCTCCGTCTAAAGCGTTGCTCCTGTCGAATGAGAGTGCTGCAGAGGTATACGTTTGAGATTTGGACGGGCGTGCCAGCATGCATTTGGGGGCGATGTCAACTACATGGCTACCCGCTCCAGGCAAGTACATATTGACATATTTCATCACTTTAGCCGTACGACGGCCTTCTGCTTTTGCTGACCAAGCCCGTTTGCGTACAGCGCAGAAGATCTAACTAGCCAGATTGCAGGATGAGTTTGGCCAATGGTCAATGCCACCCTGGCGCAACTGCACAACTTTACGGTAACTTCACATGCTCGGGGTCATGCTAACAGACGGAGATCGGGGAGCCATCCGCCTTTCAGATAGAGAGCCGAGTGAAGTGACCGTACTTCACCCTCGTGTTTCAAATTGGTTGGCTGCCAGCCGAGCTTGATCCCATGTTCATCAGCATCCATGTTCACCAACTTTGGCGCATGGCTCGCCCTTTTGAAAGTACCCCTAAAACGGGGTGGTTTTGGAAATCCGCTCCATGGACACCGCCCACCCTTTCTCTTTTTCCCGCGTAGCTCTTCGACGCCCTGTACAACCTGATCCTCGACAGGTTCGAGGCGCGGCGTCGTTGCTTTCTTTTCGGCGGTGTATATGGGGTGCATTTTATTGAGGGTGCCCATTGTGATATAGGTTTAAAAGGGAACCAAAAGGAATCCAACCATTTGTTGGGTTCCACCATTTTGAGAGACACACCCACATTATTGGGGTGGTAAAAATGGGGGAGAATGGGTAAATGGGGGCAAAATAGGCCGGGTCGCAATCCGCTGTGCCTGAAACCTTTGGTGAATTTTGCTTGGATGTTAGGACTTTAACTTTTTGCCAACTAATGGGTTTTCCATTCCTCCACTATAAAAGTTGTTTTTGGGGGCATGTACATTTATCATAGCATGTTTGATTATTGCCATGGCCAATGCGCCATTTGGCTCAAGCTTTTCACTGCGTCAATTCCCGTTTGCTGTTTCGTCGCTCATAACCTGTGGCGCGGCGCGTCATCCCGTACCTGAAAAAGGGCGGGCTGACGCAGCTGCGGTGGGCTTCTGGGTGGAGCAGGTCGGATCGGGGTTTGGTAGTGTGCGTGTTGTTTGCTTGCTCGCTTCGCTCGCTTTGCTTGCCCGCGTTGGTGCTGCTGCTCGTGCGCTTGCTGCGCTGCTTGCCCTTGCTGGGTTCTTTCTTCTGTTTGTTAAACTGGCAACCCTTTTGGTTCGTGTTTGTGCCGGCCGAGGGCAACCGCTTTGCCCTTGGGACCGGGGGGATAAGGTGGTCTCTTCTTGTTGGTGGGTTAGGGCCTGTTTTATCCATCCCGAAACTCTGTTTCAAACCCTTTCGCAGGTTATCAGCCGTAGGATTCGTCCTCGGTTGGCACCGCGAACCCCATTTAATAACAACCCTGCAGGCGCCGTTTTCCATAGGCTACTGTAGGACTCATGGCGGGAATCACCGAGGATGGACCTCATGTGGTGACCGATGAGTGGGTTCTCGGCCAGGCCGGAATCTTGGACGTTGTGAATGACGACCAAGTGCCCGGACAGCCGATGTTTTCCGGTCCTGACTTTTTGTTGGACCACTCTTTTTCAGAAGCAATGCCTTCAGGAAGATCCAGTGCTACTCGCACTGATGAGCTATCGTCTAATGCTTCAAGAGCTAATCGCTCTCAGGGTCATGGGGCTAATCGTCCTGACCATGATGATTCCGTCTCAGGACGTGATGATGACGAGCCCGGTATTGCACCTGGAGCTCAATCCTCATCTTTCCCGGAGCTGATGAATATTGGTCAGTCCGAGCTTCGTGACTCTCGAAGTAGCAGTAGACCTGTGCCAACCAGCAGTATAGTTTTTCAAGCGCTCGGTAATCCCGAACCTGGTACATCCAGTGGAGTTGCATTTGACGCTCATCTGCCGACCGAATCCGGTGGACTCGATTGGAGAGCCTCATGGCCCAACGACGGAAACATTTTTGGTATGGATTTTGCCGCATGGATGCCAGGGCCACCCGCCCCGTCATCTTTCCCGCATTTCCAGAGCCCAAAACGAGCTGCTGGAAGTGATGAATTCATGCTACCTTTGTCGATTGAGAATCTCAATCCTGATGTGGCCAGCCGCAACGTCAGGCCAAGACCGTCGGTAAACCCGACCATGAGGAACATGTCTCCTCCCCCGGGACTTTCGGGATTTGAGAGCCCTAGGGAGCGTAATATCGTAGATAGATTGGATTTGCATCCCAGTCCAACCCCAAGCAAACGATCAAGGTCAAATTCGACTGGATCGCATAGGGCAAGGGGGATGGATCGGGAAACTGCTCACAGGGGTAACCCCAGTGCGCGGGACTCAGGACGCGGCCGATCAGGTGACCCAGCGTCAATCATTGGAAGAGACCCGTTAAACGCGGACACACTCGTTAACGTGCTTGATGGGATCGAGGCATTCCAGGAGGAATTTAATAGGTCTAGTGGCTTGAACGTGCGAAGTGTTCACCCTACGCCCAACGCGGCTTCCATTTTCGCTCTGGACAATATGGACGGAGCTAATGTTCCGATAGAATCTGAGTCCATGATGGCATCAAGTTCTAGTCGCAATCATACCATCAGTAATGGAACTGATATTGAATCGATGTCTGAGTCTAGGGTGTCCAATGCGACCGACTTGAATGACATTGTTATTGCTGACTCGAGACCTGATGTTCCTATGCGAACGGATAGGCCTGTTGTTCCTAAGCTGTCCGTTGCCAAAGGCCTGGGCATGACACAACCCTCTGCGGTTCGTGATGCAAGAAGGTCTGCTCCG